TAGACATGAAGGTGAACACAGATTGATTTATCCAACAATCAATCAATTAATCATACTGCTAAATGTGTTTCCCTGACCGATAGCTGCTACCTTGCCGTGGTGGTTGGGCTTGCATATCACAATAACATAACGAGCTAAGCACTGGTGGAACACTTGTTCCCTTGAGGTCCTACTATACCAGAAAGGTCTATTGGATAGTGTTTAGACGAAAAGCAGGTACCATTGTGGTGTAAATTACTACACTATGATACGGGGGGGGAGGGGGTCTGAGGGCGAAGTCGTATTACTGCTAGCTGGATGGGGTGTGACAGCAGTAAGGTGTTTCCCTTGGATGACCGGCTGATGCTGTCTTCTCAATGGAAGAAGGGGTAGAAAAGGTCGGCCTCAAAAATGAAACACTTCATCATACCTCACAGTCTGTCGGGCCGGCGGTGTTGGTTCAGTTATCGTTTGTTTTCCAACATCTGGCCCCAAAACAAAAGTTCAAAATAATCATACACAAAAGGCTGCGTGTGACAGACCTCAATCAGATGTCCGATGGGCTCTGTGGTCACACAAATCTCTTTCAGGTACCTTAAAAAGAAATAGCTTTCTATGGTGTGGGCAGTCAGGAAGTGTCAACCGCCTTCACAACTCTATCAGCACTCAAGTCCCCTATCTACCAGCTAATTTTTTGAAAGCTAGTCATTACCATCCAGGGGGGAGGCTGTACAAACTTTGATGAGTGTGGAGGTGAGCTGTTCAGTGATTGAGTGTCCAACAGTCGACAAGGCAACTCTCATTCAGATAATATTATTGTACGAGCCAAACAGATGGATGAATATATCAATTCAAGTTGTTGAGCAGCATAACAGACAAGGTAAATAAGTAGAGCTTAAAGAGAAACTATGGTCAAACAGTCGATTCGACGTTTCTCTGGAAATATATTCTCTGTGTGGTTAATAGCTGAGTCACCGCCTACCTAGACATGCTTTGAATGGGGAAATCGGATTACCTTAGAGAGGGTTCAGGGTGACCAGATTAATACGTGGCACTAGTTCATGAAGTCCCCGACTATTCGTCTGACACGTGTGATAAAATGTAGATTAGCTGGATGAGGTTCCCAAAAATTTGAGAACCAATAATTGAAAAGAATCTTGGCAACATAACTGAATATCAATCAATTTGAATGGTACAGATGGATTAACTCAAACATTTTCTAAAGCTTGAACCGCCCCAAAAAGGAACCTTATTCATTCACTCTGTGCTAGAATCAAAATAGTATGCAAAAGAGACACATTAGACGATGAGTTTAAAATACCTTTAGAAAGTACTTCTTCAGAATGATTATTCCCCAAGATTCATTCGAAAAAAAAAACAACAACATAAAGCTGAAACAATGACAAGAATAAGGCCCAAGGTGACCAGACTAAAACGTGGCACCAATGTATGAAGTCTCTGACTGTTGGTTTGAGCCATGTGGAGCGATGCAGACTAGGTGATTGGGGTCTGCAGGTCAAGAGGAACCAGTGGTTGGAGACTCTAGGGGATATGGCTGAGAACCGATGTCAGTGGCACAGATGTATACACACACACACACACACACATTATCCTCATCATAACAACGCTATACCGAATCTCAGTATTTCCTCATTCTTTCTTTCTTCTCGTACTTTATATTTCTTTTGACTGAATCTTCAACTTTCACCTCACTACCTTTCTACTTGATGTACTGATATGAGCTGTGGTAACTCAGAACCGTTACGCAGTATTACCTAGTCCTATATTGATATTGATGATGATGTCACTGTTCCTAAGAAGACCTTATGAATATTGAATTCAGAGGGGACCATCCTGTAGAAATACTAAAGACTTGTCTATCTAAAGGATTTAGAAAAAAAACATTCTATGCCAATAAACTGTGTATTATCTATTCTCCAGCCAATAGTTGATTCAAGGGAGGTTATATTCATGTATATCTGAAACTACTCTTGTGAAGTTGGTTATGTGTAGGCCATACACACAGCTTAGTCTTTTGAAACGTATCTCCAAGTGCTACTTTGTTTCCAGCTGTCCAGAGGAGAATACAAGTCAAGCGGTAATAACTTTCATCTTGAATTATTTGGTCAACTATGATTATTTCACTTCTTCATAGTTGCCAATTCAATAATTAAAGCTTGAGAGGTCTACATAACACTTCGATTATTGATTATAACCTATAAGTTATCACGTTAATCTACACTGTATAATTTTCCTTGATTACACAATCCATTTTTAACTCTACAGTCAACTCACTATTTCACACCCAAACCTCCCCCCCCCCTCTGTAGAACATCCCGTTTGCAAGAAGACACAATTCTTCACACAGATTAGATTAACAATCAAGAGACTTAACGAATGGTATTCTATATCTCGATTGAGTTATACTCCAAATTTTGTTCCAGTCAAATCGTATAAATTTGACTCATACTACTTCGCTTAAAGAGGCTAGACAGTTATCATTGTTGTTAGTTGGTTGGAGGCAATCACCGGTAGGAAACCCTGCCTCATCTAGGTTTCGTGCTTTTTGGCACTCGTCAGCAAGGCATACCTGCAACCTTGACGGAACTGATGTCCTGCCGGAGATCCGAACCTGTGTCACCCACTGTTGTAGTCAGAGACTTTACTAATGAGCCACGATTGACCAATCAATACATGTAAGTCAGTCCTACAGGAGGTCAATCGTGGCCCGAATAGCTCAGTGGTAAAGTCGCTGACTACAACAGTGGGTGACGCGAGTTCGAATCCCAGGCGGGACATCAGTTCCGTCCAGATTGCAGATACGCCTTGCTGAAGAGCGCCAAAACGCACGAAACCTAGGTGAGGCAGAGGTTCCTGTCGGTGATTGCCTCCAACCAACTAACAACTACTAATGTGCACCGTGATGCTGAGCTTCCTAGGTTGGTTGCTACATTGCAAATATGATCGATAGAATTCGGTCTGCACCCAGGACTAGACAACATGAAGTTGGTTGCACTCCCATGACCAATCAATGCAGTTATCAGTGTTGATTGATAACTAATGTGATTTTCAAATTCCAAAGAGCTTGATCGAAATGAATCGATTAAAGTTTACAAAGTGGAGTAAAGATAAAGGGTAGTGCAAACTTTCAAGCTTCGGAAGACGTCAAAGAATGAATATACATCGGTGCCATTGTGACCGATTCATGTTCAACCAAGTCACCATGAGTACTTAACCACTGATTCCTATAGTCTCAGGGACTTCAGTGAGGAGGTCCTCATCTCCCCACACTCCCAGACCAACAGTTAGACACCTCATCGACTAGGTTCAGGTCTTTATCTGGCCACCTTGTACCCTTTTTCCAAATTGGTCCTATCTTGACCTAACAGGAGATATCGAAGTAGGCAGTGACTCGACATATGCAGCCAACCTCATCAATCAATCAACTTGCCTCTTTTGCTTAATGCCTTTCACCTAACCTCAGAACTGTTCACACGATGATTCCATCAAACATTAGCAATGCTACCAAGACATCTGTAATCGCTTCACATCTTCTACTTTTAATGAATATGCCTCACAGTCGTATAACACAACGAAACAAAATGCAGCGAAATTGATTCATCTTTCGATAGACAGTCGGATATCTTGCCAATCAAATGCTACAGTTAAGATTTCATCAGCAATCAGCCTATTCGAAGTGATCATATCAGTTAGATGAAAAACAACAAACTTCAGAGAAAGAAAAATAATATCAAGTTAAACTCACAACCGATTAGAGGTTTATCACCGCAAGCCTCTTCAAGATTTCTATTAATAGTATCAATTTCATTGACAATACGCCGAATAATTGTACCATGAAGCCACTGAAATGATACAAGCAATTAAATAGATCACATACACACACACACACACACATAATGATAATAAAGCTTACAAAATCGACGGGAAACGACAACCGAGAATATTACCTAACTGAAACACACTTCATTTCAGAGGCGCAACACACAATTCATTTTGAATGCAGTACTCATCAATCTTACTATATTATAAAGGTAACCAAGATTCTGTACCTAGGGTTCGAGCCCATACATCTTCCAAGTTTTGGGGACAAATATCCACACAGATTGTAGAGCGGATTTCTTTTCCCTGTATACACATCTTAAACAGATTTTATAAGATACACATACAAGACAAATGTGAAAGCTGGTAGACAGGCTATCCACACATTATCATAGCATTATATACAAGCAATAAGTGGATAGAAACAGACTGATATCACAGTAGACAAAGGTGTATGGGAGAAGAGAGGGAATTTAAAAATTGAGATGAAAAAACGAATACATCTGCGCCATTGTCACTGTAGCCTACATGGTCTACATCTCCCTCACCCCCCCCGTATAGGGCTCAAACCAATTGTGCTATCTCATAGTCCTGCCACCCCGAACTCCGCTTCCAACTTCTCGCATCATCGTACGTCAAGGTAGGTGGCGATAGCTCGACATACGGAATACATCTCCAAGTCATTTTAGTCAATGAAGGTTCCGCAACCTCATCCATCGACTAGCCGCCCAGTCTTGCCTGGTACTCTTCACCCACCTGACGTTACCATTGCTCACACCGTGAATCACTTCACATTTCCCAACAGTACACAAAGAACAGGTGGATAGATAAGAATTGACAGCAAAGTAGATAATATCTAGTGCAAATAGTCAAGCTTTAGAAGATGTCAAAGAGTGAATATACATCTGTACCGATTCATATTCAGCCATGTCATCAAGTGTCCTCACCAACCATTGATTCCTTTCGTCTCTAGGACTCCAACCAGATAGTCTACATCTCTACACATGATTTAGACCAACAGTCAGAGACTTGATCGACTGGTACCACCCTCAACCCTCTTCCAACCCAATCCACATTCCCCAGGCATGGGTATATCGAAGTAGCCAGCGGTGGGTCAGCATGCTTAGTGTTTGTCGAAGCCATCTTCGTCAGTGAAGGTTGGCAACCTCATCAATCGACTGACTTGCCTTCCTTGCCTAATATACCCATGGCCTGACTTCAACATTACTCACACGATGATTCCGTTTATAAAAAATACTATAGATGAGTATTATGTGAATGAGAATAACACTCAGTTAACAGCGATTGACCTTGGTTGGAAGACGGTTCAGAGTGGCAAGACGAAAACTTGGCGCTAACTCACAAAATCTCTATCAGTCTCAGTCATATAAGGAGGTGCAGAATACTCGGTTGGGGCCCCTAAGACAATAGCAGTCGTGACTAAAAACTCTTGGTGAAATGCCGCCCTCTAAAGTCTGTATACACCATTTGTTTACTTCGACATCAATTCTTTTCGATCCACCCGTTCCTCTGAAAAGATACACTACGTGCGCAAGGTTTGTCTGCCATAGGTTTTTCACTATAATTCCATCAGAGAACCTATACAATCTTCTTATATGAAGTCATCGTTACCTTTTATCTCTCTGACCGGAGAAGGCTGCCTTCAGGAAAAACAAATCACGTTCAGATTAAATTGCAACGCTACTCCACGCATCATCATAAAAAAGAGCATAGAATAACAGTCAACTGGATCTTTACCTCAACTCCATCCACTTTCGAAAGGCATTCGAAAACATCGACCGACAAGTAATTTGATAGCTACTTCAACACTACGGTTTTAGTGCCACAAACCTTCATCAACCTCATTCAACAACAGCTATATACTATATTGTACTAGATGCCAAGTGATTCATAATGGAAAGCTCAGTGATGACTGTAGAGTGAAGACAGCAGTAAGACAAGGCTACCGCCTACTATCACTCATCATCTTCCTTGTGGTCGAATGGACCGGATTGGATCATGCAACAAACTATGAATAGCGAGATGGGCATACGCTGTTTGACAGACGAAAAGACCCTACATTTCGATTTCGCTGATGATTTATCTCTAATGCCGCACAAACTCGAAGATCTACAGGCTAAAAGCAACAAATTGGCAGAAGAGGCAGGGCAGCGAAGACGGGACTTCCTTCAGGTGAACGTGGAGATGACAGAGGTGATGAAGATATCCAACCAACCAACCAACCAACAACAACAACAACAAACACCGATCACCATCAACAGGAGAAATCTAAACGAAGTCCCCTTTCACCTACCTAGGCAGCATCGTCTCAACTACAGGTGGCGGCACACATGAAAATGACAAAGCCAGGATCGGAAAGACAGCAAGACAGGCCACCCTTCATTAGTCTGAAACCAGTCTGGAGATCTACTGCACTCAGCATAAAGAACAAGATCCAGATTCTCAACACCAACGTCAAGTCAGTGCTTCTATATGATGGATGAGAGGCTTGGCGAGTTACGAAAAGCATTTCCAACAAACTACACACATTCATCAACAACTGCCGCTCACGGTCACTCGATACTGAAGATCAGATGGCCAGAAAGAATGAGCAACAACGAACTCTCGCCTGGTAACGAACCAACCAAGAATCTATCACCTAACAAATACGCCTTAGGAGAAAGTGGAGATGGATTGGATTGGATTGGACATACAATGAGAAGACCATTCGGGGACATCACGCGCCAGGCCAAGCCGTAGAGTGGAGTCAAAATGGGAAACGACGAGTTAGGCATCCCAGCTGAGGGTGACATGGAGGAGATCATGTGAGGGAGAAATGAAAGTTTCTGGGTAGTCGTGGAGCCAGGTTGAAAAGACTGCAGAGAAGAGAGTGCAACGGAGGCGTGCTACTGAAGCCGTATGTTTCACTAGGAACCAAAGGGATAGATAATAATAATAGTAATATGAAATTCTCTCACCCTATCTGATGAATCAGCTGATTTAACAAGTAGCCTGACGTCATGATTGAAGTCATGCATACATAGTTGAACAAGACTGATACTTATAGAATAAGCAGGTGATTACAACAACGCTATTATTATTTATTTGAAGTGATGAGTACAAGAGATTACCTTTCGTAGATTTAATGTCCAACGATCCAAATCATTCTTACTGACTTGATGTTCCATCCAATACTATAGAAGACAGAAAAATACAACAAAATACCATAATAAAACATTTATAATACTTTTAAAGTGTTTTTTTCTTTCTTCACATTACTGAACTATAAAGTGTATTCAGTGGTCAACCTTCTCCATTGGTCGACTACAGTATATCATTATCATCAAAATAGGACTCGTACTACTGCGTAACGGTTTGAGTTGCCACACTTTATATCGCTAAATCAAGTGAAAAGCCAGTGAAGTAGGAGATAGAGAAAAGAAAATTCAGTCAGAAAAAAAAATCCGAAGCACGAAAAGAGAGAAAGGAGGAATGAGGAAATGATGAGATTCAGTATAGCGTTGTTATGATGAGGATAATGTGTGTGTGTGGGGGGATAGATCTGCACCACTGACATCGGTTCTCAGCCATATCACCTAGAGTTAGTCTCCAACCACTGGTTCCTCTTGTCCTACCGACCCCAACCATCTAGTCTGCATCACCCCCACAAGGCTCAAACCAACAGTCAGAGACTTCATACATTGATGCCATGTTTTAGTCTGGTCATCTCGGGTCTTTTTACAGCCTGGACATACTTCGGCCAACATTGTGTGACGAGGCAATCGACGACTAGACATACGTAACACATGTCCCAACCAGCCATCTCAGTCGATGAAGGTTCAAAACCTCGTCAACAAATTTACCTCTACTCCCTAAAACCCTACATCTCTGTGTTATTCACGTGGTGACACCACGGAATACGACCTACATTACGAAGGCAAACACTTGAAGCCTACTCATTTCTTCCACCTTCAATGGGCATGTTTCACAGCCATAGAGTAGAACAGACCGGACTATTGTGCAGCACATGCAACCCCTAATAGACAATCGGATTTCACGGCGGCGTCATAGGTGGCGTAAGTTGGCAAAAGCCAATCGAGCTTTTTGTATGCGTGCAGAGACTTCATCGGCAACTGATCATACTTCCCATGTGAGTGAAGTCGTCGACGCACTCAATCACTACAATCTCTATTGTTAACCGAGGCATCGTTAAAGACCAGTCGTGGAGCAACAATTTGCACTTGGGTAATAAGAAACCCATTCCAAACATTCTCAAATTGCCACTCAGTGTTTAGAAGACTCTGCATCTTGTCAGCGTCTTCACCTAACAGGACTATGTGATCTAACGAAAATTCTCCTGTGATTAAGTCAACCCCTGAGTAGTCAGGTGACGAGAGGGAGACCTCCATAAGTATGTCATCCCTCAGACGTCTTACAGGAGCTCAATCGCAGCAACCATAACTCACTTAGTGGTAACGTGGTCTCTGATACCAGTACTGGATAACTACAGGTCGTGGTGAGCCGGGTGTGTGGTTATTTCTTGATTTCAGGTTGATGCTAATCACAGATTGATACATCAGTAGGACAACAATTCCGAGAAAATGGGATAAGTGGGCAGCAGCTGTTTCGCAATAATATGGGATTCATCATGCGTAATATGCTTTTCGCTCCAGAACTGGTCTGTAACTACTCCAAGGTGGTGAAATGTGCCCAACGCTTCATTTACTTGGGGAGTTGCATCGACTTAAACGAGTCGATTGCTGACGTAATTTCATCTCGGATACAGAGGGTGTGTTTAGTATTTGACGAACTCAAGCACCTACGGCGCTGACTGGGGAGATATATCCGCCTATCTACCAATAAATGGATGATTATTCTGCGTTGTGCGACAGAAAAGAAGCAGTTCCCATGTTTGCATTACACAAGTCTTCATAGCATTGGTCACATTTTTTGGAATCACCGTGTAAGGAATATTGAGGTCAGATGAAGGGTATATTAGGCAAGGAAGGCAAGTCAGTCGATTGATGAGGTTGCCAACCTTCACTGACGAAGATGGCTTCGACAAACACTAAGCATGCTGACCCACCGCTGGCTACTTCGATATACCCATGCCTGGGGAATGTGGATTGGGTTGGAAGAGGGTTGAGGGTGGTACCAGTCGATCAAGTCTCTGACTGTTGGTCTAAATCATGTGTAGAGATGTAGACTATCTGGTTGGAGTCCTAGAGACGAAAGGAATCAATGGTTGGTGAGGACACTTGATGACATGGCTGAATATGAATCGGTACAGATGTATATTCACTCTCTGACGTCTTCTAAAGCTTGACTATTCCCACTATCCTTCATCTTCACATTGCTGCTCTACCCACATACACCTTTGTCTGCTTTGATATCACTCCCTTATTTTGTCCACCTGTTCTCTGTATACTACTACTACTACTACTACTACTACTGCTACTATGAAGTGTGGCAAATTGAAGTGAGGCACCTGTATGAGGTTCTAAATTGATTTTGTCTGTCTGTGTGATTGTTTGTTCAAGAGGTAGAAAAATAATCTTCCGACGTTTCGCAACCTCACAGAAGGTGCTTCTTCAGAGAATCATATCTGTATAAGTTATGGCATGTTTTATCCTCTGAAAAAGTAGCTCTCACAAAGTGGTGGCATATTCTTCTGTTTACCTTAGATAGGATGTTACAAAATATACTTCTTTAACAAACCATTTACCCAATCCTCAACATATTCAGTATGATCAAGTTAAATTTCTACCTTGAAGTCAGAAGGTGCTAATAAAGGCAGTAAGAACGTGAGCTCAAAAGGGGAGGTGGCTAGACTAAACCATGACATCATTGCACCAAAGTCTTTGACTCTTGGTCTGAGCCATGTGAGGAGAGAGATGCAGACTAGTCGGTAAGGATCCAAGTGACAAGAGAAACCAGTGGTTGGAGACGACTTCAGGTGATGATATGGCTCAGAATCGATATCAGTGGCACAGGTGTATACACACACATTCTCATCTTAACCTGATATAAGGATAGAAAGAAAAGCCGAGTCTGGAGAGGGATCAATCAAAATGTACTCTATGTGATCACGTCTACAGTTAGGTAGACAGACTGGGGATCACCTAATCAATAGTCTTTCGACGCCAATACACCTTCCTACACGTCCATCGTGTATTCTCTATTATTTAGTCGGTTCAGGAATCAACTAGGAATTTCGTTGAATGTTTGTAACTCACTCACAGTCGATACCCATGCACCGTTAGCGGTCAAAACAGTTTTCGAATCATAACAGTTAGCGACAAGGATGCGATATTGAGAAATGGACTCTTCGAAGTTGGACAAATTACTCGAACAACAAATGAAGATTATCAAGATACTTACACAATTCAACATCTCTAGTACTGAATCATCCATCACCTCCAGTTGACACCATCGCCAATAACATCACCAGATTTCACTACGATCCTGATGTCAATGAGACCTTCGGTGCTTGGTTCAGACGTTACGAAGACTACTTCAAAGTGGATTTTGCTGACCAAGATGATTCCTGGAAGGTACGTCTCGTACTTTGAAAGCTCGACCAGTACTGCAATATGATTTCGCAGTGCAATCCACGTGATCGCCACAGTGTAGACACTGTCTGCAGAATATCAACGACTCGTCAACTCAATCCCGATGCGACGGTGATTATCAAGTATATACAGTTCAGTAGACATCTCATTCGTCAGCATTACCCTTTGGTCTTATCTCACTTGTTCATCGACCACCATACCAACCGACCATCGAAGGAGATACTCCCATCGCCTTGTTGGCATTGTGGTGTTTGGCGTTTCGTGAAGTCCTGTCCACATAAACAACATCGATGCTGGGACTGTAATGCTGTCGGCTACAGGGACAATTTTCGCCGTCAACACACATGACGTGTACAAAGGTTGCATCCTCTAGATGCCGCCACAGATTTCATTTTCAATCGGTAGGTTAATCTTTAGGCTTGATATCTAATTTTCTTGTTCATTCACTTACCCAGCGGACAAACATCGAGAAGACTACCGGTCTCTCTCAGTGAACAAGGAGAAACCGTCTCTCTTTGCATCAGTCATCCTTTTATTTTACTGCTTTGTTACTTGATATGCTGATGCGAACTGTAGTAACTTGGACCGATATATGGTAATGTCTCGTCCTAATGTTCATATTTATTGACTGAGTAGAGCAGAGAATATAAAAGAATCATGTACACAATATAAATATAATAAGCAAGAAATAACACAAGTTGACAGAAGAGGCAGTGAAGACGGGACTTCAAGGGAACATAGAGAAGACAGAGGTGATGAAGATACCCAACCAACGCCCCCACAAACAACAACAAGCTCCAATCACTATCAACGGGAGAAACTTAAAGCAAATAGCCTCTTTCACCTATCTAGGCAGCACTGTTTCAACTACAAACGGCATAGACGAGGACGTCAAAGCCAGCCAGGATCGGAAAACACTGAAAGACGGGCGTTCATTAGCCTGAAACAGTGTGGAGATCGACTGCACTGCACTCAGCATAAAGCGTAAACAAGATCTGGATTTTCAACACCAACGTCAAGTCAATGCTCCTATATGGTTCAGAGACTTGGCGCGTTACGAAAGGCATTTCCAACAAACTACACTCATTCATGAACAACTGCCTACACTGGCTCGTTACTGAAGCTCAGATGGCCGAAAAGAATAAGCAACAAGGAACTCTGGCTGACTGGCAACGAACCAAGCAAGAACCTATCGCTCAACAAATATGCCTTAGAAGAAAGTGGAGATGGATTGGGCATACACTGAGAAGACTGACTGGGGACATCACGCGCCGGGCCATGCCGTAGAGTGGAACGCAGATGGGAAGCAACGAGTTGGGCGTCGCAGCTGAGGGTAATATGAAGATGACGTGAGGAAGAAATGAGAGGTTGTGGGCTGTCGTGGAGCCAGGTTCAAAAGATTGCAGAGAACAGAGTGCAATGGCGACGTGCTACTGAAGCCCTATGTTCCACTAGGAACTCACGGACAAATAATAAATAATGATAGTACCGAAATAACTGACTACTTGTAGATCTTTTGTTGTTGTCTGGGTACATGTGCATACAACACTGATTAAACTGCTTACCTCATCTTCAAAACGTTCATTTAATTCACGATCACTCTTTCCAGAATCAGGTGTTATACTGCTTGAAATAAAAGATGGTCCTGATGATGATTTCAGAGAATCATTTAAAAACTGTTGACAAGGATTGGTAAGTGGGATATAAGCTGATTCATATTGATACCGGGGTGATGAGTTCGATGTTAAGAATGATGATGACCAAGTGACTGAACGATAAACATCTTTGGAATTGTGTAGTGGAGCATGATTTCCACCACCACCACTACCACTGCCTAACGAAGGTAGTATTGCACAATTGGAAATTGGACTGAGAGCCAAATCTAAAAGAGAAACTAATGTAATAAAAAGAAAAGTTAAACAAAACTCTACTTTATTTGGCGGATAAGATAATTCAAAGGAAAAATTAATCATAACAAGCTAAATAACTTAGGACGACTTTTCTAGGGAATACGCAATTAACGTCAGTAGGACATGTATATATAAGAGAATAGTCATCATCACCATCGATATCAACCAACATAAGACCAGGGATTATTGTGTGACCGACTAAGTTGCCACCCTTCATATATCAGCACAAGTAACAGTGCAGTAAGATGAAAGATGAAGTAAAGGGAGAAAAATCGGTAAAAGAGATGCTGTATTCAGCACGTCGGTTAACATGGAAATAAGGTTTAGCTATATCTGCGCCACTGACATCGATTCTGAGCCATCACCAAAAGGCTTCAACAACTAATGGTTTCTCTTGTCCTGCAGACCTCAACTATAGCATAGTGAGTGGAACGTTAACTATGAAAAGTGGTTCGGCGATATAATTATAATATTGATTTCTTTTTATATTATATATATTAAAATGCAAACATGGTATCGAGAAGTGCACCACACAAAATAACATAACAACCTTATGAAGACAAAACAAAACATTCATTTCTTTTTAGCAGAAGATACAAGGAAGTTAGAGTATAACTCCAACTGGTTTTGGTTTCAGCCATATCTGATAACATCTGAAGCCAGTGAGTTGCCTGATCTTTCAGACCCCTCCCCACCAACAGATGGTAACTCGATACAACTATCCTTCATTTTACACAGCTCCGTCATACACTGATTACCTGCCCCTCTTCTTCTATCCACTCCCAGGGTTAGCAAACGGTGAACGGTATGGAAGCCGTTGAGATGAAATGCGTAACATATGTCCAAGCCAAAGAAATCGATGTTTCCAGATGACTTCACTTATTGAATGACGATCTCCACCATGCCCAAACACACGTTGTCGTACCTCAGAACTACTTACATGGTGTTGCTACCGGACACGAGTAATCCTACGCAGACAACGATCACTGAACACAGAGTCATTGCAAATTCTCAGATCGAACAGACCAGATTTCACGAGTGTAGAGCAGAACTGTTTACGCCAATCCTTGCAAACGCGACCTTTTATGATCAGACCAGTATCGCAACGGCGCCAAAGGTGGTCCAGATTGGCGTATGCCACTCTGGCTTCCGATGCGCAGTTGGAAATCTCGTCATTCACAACTCCTACCAGCACTCACACAACTACCCAGATACATGAACAAATTTTCGACTAATTCTAACGGCTCACCACAGTTACAGTCTCCTGTCAATCTTGCAAAAGTACTTTGCACTTCGATAATGCAAAGCATTAACCATACTTACGGACACTAATAGTGGTACTGGTTGACGATTGAAGATGACTGAAATGACCAATGATAACAGGATGAGAAATTTTGACTGGATAGAAATAACGACTGTTCTCCCTCAGCACCCTACACTTCAATGAGCTATGAAACTCAGAAGAAACAAAGATAGGTCTGCAACTGTAAAGCTAAGACACTTTATTCAACACGAAAATGCATCATTCATACATAGTTTCCATGAAAATATTACACTACCAGGTCAAAAGTCAAAGGACTTATTCTGATTGGTCAACTTCAGGGTTAAAATCAACCATTAAGGTTTTATTCCTGACCACATAGTAACATGAAAACAAACGTTCTAATAAAGAAAAACTCCTACCTTAGGGTCTAATGACTCATAAAATATTGATTTCCACTTAGACTGTTTCCTATAAGTGGGTTGCAGCAGTAAGATTCAAACCAGTGGCCTTCAGGTAACCGGGCCTGGTGCTCTACCAATTGACTTACGACAATCAGCAAGTGACCAGATTTTAATTTTACTCGAATCCACCAAGGTAAGTTACAATCTTTCTATATAACTCTGTAACATGTGAAATGATTATAGCTGAAGGCGATGTCTTTACAACAAAACATATTGGAGGGAGTACACAAACAATATTGTTCTGCTGACATTATCTTCGTGACGCGTTGAGCAGAAATCTGATCATGTTTGACATACGTCTCGCTGACAACTGCCAAATGTAAGATGATGCTTCAGGACTGGTCTGTAACTACTTCTAGATTAAGGATAAAGTGTGAAGTGCTGCAATGTGTCGACCACTTTACTTACTTCGGGAGCTGATGGCTGACGAAATCTCATCTCATGTACATAAGGCCCGTCTGGCCTTCGATAACTTGCGCTGCAGTCCGTTCTGTCCTGTTATACATCTGTGAGGCATAGCCGCTGAAAGTAGAAGACGTGAAGCGGTTTGCAAGGTTTCGATTATAGGTATCTTTTCAGCATTGCTGGGGTGTTGAGGTTCAGTGAAGGGTGCTAGGCAAGACAAGCTAGCCGGTGGATGAGGTTGTGAACCTTAGTCGATTGAGATGGCTTCAATATGTGTTGCGTATAGCAAGCCATCACCGCTGGCTACCTCGACGTGTCATTCAAAGGGGGAGCTAAGTTACATTGGAAGAAGGTTGATCATTACTAGTGCACATCGTGGCTATTGACTTCTGTAATCGTTTCAACAGGCTTGGTAAACAAAGCTCCAAATACTACCAGTCAGTCAGACAACATGAACATAGGAACAGACATTATTGCGCAACGGGGTCCAACTTGGCATACTTCCCATCAACAGATCAAGGGTATAAAGAACTCAAATGAATGTTAGAGAAGTAAAAGAGGAAGTAGACAGAAGTAGCAGAAAGGCAAAAAAGGAAGGAAGAAAAATGGTGCAAAAAAGAAAACAATAATGAAATATGATACGTATAGATACATCGATGCTAGTGAGATCGACTCCGTGTCATATTAGCAACTAGAGTCTCGGGACATAAAATTTCCGTTGACAGGCAAACCACCAGTCAAAAGGTTTGCATTCCCCTATTATGCAATCATCATTCAACTTATATTCAGTCGCAAAGGCTTCTAGTAAAATTCTAACTCTTTATTCGCATGAACTTTTCTCTTGGTTTCATAGTCAAGCGTGCGAATAGCTGCACATGTACCAGTAAAACTAACTGACAAAACTAACGTAGGACTTGGCACACAAATGCCTCATTTCACAGTAGTACACAAAGAACAAGTGGATAAAAAACGAATAGTGTCAGAGAGTAAACAATCTGAAGATAACGTTTGTTGTGAATACTCAAGTTTTAAGGAGACGTCAAAGAGCAAATATATCTGTGCCATTGTGACCGATTTTCAGGTATGTCAATATAGTTTAAGACCACTGATTCCTTCCGAGATGGTGTACATCTTCCCCACGTGGCTCAAGCCAGGTCTTGGTATGACCACCTAGCATGGTACGTTGAGGTAGGTAGTGGATTGGTATGCAAGTACATGTTAAAGCCAACCTAGTTGGTGAATGTTCATAACCTCGTCAATCGACTTGCATTCGTAACCGAATACCCTTCGTTTGGCCTCAATATTGCTTACACGGTGATTCCACCATAAGTGAACAATGCTATGAAGATACCTATGGTTGAGAAACTGTAATTGTTACATGCCTCCTAATTCTAACAACCATGTCTCAGTCGTACATTAGGGCAGAACGAACTGTAGTGCAGTATACTCGTCCTTTGGTAGACAGTCGGATGCATTGTCAGTAGGCGCTCCAAGTGACGCCAGTTGGCAAATGTCAAATGGGTCCTCTCTATCTGAGCTGAGATTAAGTCAACAATTAGCCTGTTCGGGCTGAAGTGATCGACGTATGTGAAGTAAGAAAAACCGTTCATATGTACCAACTATAGATATATCAGGCAAGTAGTTTACTCCCAACTCGAAATAGCTGACTGAAATCTGAATGAAGCTTTAGAAAACATAACTCAAACATCAATTATGCAGGTAATGTATCTTTGTATTGTTGACTGTGGAGCTGTAGCTCATTAGTGTAAGCGCCAGTAGATCATCCATTCAAATCCCACTCCATCTATCGAATGTTTCGGCAGCTAGTTAGTATAATTAACCATCCCACAATAAGGTGTGGTGGGTTAGTTTAAAATCACTTTTGTACTCAAGAAATTTGATTTTCCAATACTACTCTTAACAATCATGTGCATAGTCGTCCAGTAGGCAGGCAATAAGCTACATCAATTGTGTATAAAAGCTAATGATACCTATTACGTGGAGGTTCAAATCTTGGCTTGGTAAGTGAGGAGATATTTGAGGCCATAATCCACTGGTCAGAAGTTCAGTGTATTAGCTGATGACCGACACCTCCACTACTATGAAACAAGTCTCATGATAAACAAGAAACCAACAAAACAGGCGTAATATATACCTAGTTAGAATAGTGTATCATATAAAAATGAACTTACGATTTTCTTGTCCACCTCGACTTCCTGGTGTAAGTAAAGATGTACATTGTGAGTGTGACAAACTACTACTAGCAGACGGATTGTGTTGTGAAGATACTGTGATAATTCCTGATTGTTTCCAAATCGATTGATTATCTCCAATCGATTGTGGAATGCTAACATCAGTTGCTGGTGATGATGATGGTGATGATGACAGTGGTCGAATAGAAGATGCATTAGTAGAGATTTCAAATGAACTACCAAAAGTAGCTGCAGCAGAAGAAATAATATCTGAAGTATTTTTTAATAAATGAGAGCAGAACATTGAAGGACCGATAAGAGATTTGTTCAATGGTGATGATGGATATCTTGAAAGTAATTCATTTTTATCAAATAGATAATCACTATCCACTTTCATTTTCTGATATAGAATTGAATTGATTATCACAAATACGTGATATAAGACACAGGCAACAAGTAAGGAAAGCAATGATAATACTATATATACATATTGAATATTGAATAAATGTAAATATACATACCTAACTTTTCATATGTATAAATCCATTGTACAGGAAGTGAGAATAAACGAAAAAATGGTTGAATATAACTAAAAAAGGAATATAATTTATCATCATTATCATTAGGATAACTTACAATTCTATAAGTATAGACAGTCCAACTAGTATATCAATAGATAGCCATTTATAGGCATTGTTTAACACTCGCATATATGCCTCAGTTTTACATCGATGCTGAATTCTTGGACTCATCCATAGTTGAGTAAACATTTCTGATGATTGTAGTTATTAATTTTTTTTTTATATGTTCTAAGTTGATAATAACAGATAAGTGAATCTTAAATCTACAGAAAAACTGTAGAGATATAGAATATTTGATGATGATGTGTGCCGAAGGGTATTTTGTGAGGTAATATGCAAAAAAAGAAACAATAAGAACAACATTAATTATCATAAAGCTTTTTTTTTAAAAAAAAAATATACATCGGAAGAAAACACTGAGAAAAAGATGAATTAGAAATGCAGTAGGGACTTAGCTGGACATTTTTCACTATAGTCAATATTGTAGTCTGTTTATTGGAAAGATGACACAGTGAAGGAACAGTAGCATTTACTGGATAGCCACGTTTCAGATGCAATTGATTGTCCATACTCATATCAGGTAACTAACTCCACAACTTCGAGACAGACTTTATACATTCCTAATTTTCTTCTTCTCTATGATGACAAGGGTAGTAGAATCTTCCATATATCTGGGACAGGTGCAGAATCATTTCGATTGCCGAATGTATCCGGTGTTGATTCGATAAACAAAGATTAAGTTGGTTATCAATCTCTCCCTCCCTCGCAGCCTACTGTGTGATTGTGTGTTATCACATGCAGAGCTATGATCAGGCGAGCTTTTCTCTAAATTTCTTATCTTATTAGGATCTACTAATCTTGATTTAGCTTGGCGTTTTTTGTACTCTGTTATTCTAATCAACCCTACCTGGTCGACTGCTTTGAACTCGCAATCATTGCAGGGGATCTGGTAAACTAGATTATTTTGCTTAATTGCATCGATAGGATCTTTTAACGTACAAAGCTTGTTTCTAAGCAAGTTTGTTGGTTTGAATGCCACTTAAATCCCAGCCAGCATTATTAAGAATTCTTCGTAATGATTCTGAGGTGCTTCGAATTCTCTCTTAACCCTGTCACCATTATTACCAGTAGTATTGGAATTATTAGTAATCACACCTGTATTACTTTTACTACTACCACTGCTAGTATTTTTTTTTCAATTTCTTATGAATTTATTTATAAATTTTGGTGGGTAATTATTGAGACGTAGGGTATTCTTTATGTTTCTAATTTCTTAACGCAGATTTTCTGATCTACTAGCAAGCTTTTTCGCTCTATCACTTGAGCATTTAACCAGGCCTACCTTAACTGAAATGGGGTGGGAGGATTCGAAGTCTAAGTAGCCATTCGAATGGGTAGGTTTCCTATAGGTGCTAGTCTCTAGTTTTCTTTCCTCTGCTCCTTTAATCTTCCAATCCAACATTGCTAGCTTACCTTTTTCAGTTTCTAAGTCACAGGTAAATTGCACTGCATTCACTACTGAATTTATATGTGCCAAGAACCTATTTATGTGTTCCGTATCTCTGGAGTAGGACGAAACGTCATAATGACCATCTGTTTCCAACTATCTATAAATATGTCTGCGACGATAGGCGATATTGGTGATCCCAAACACCTTCAGTTTGCAGAGTCTTCTGAACACTTTCAGTGGCAATTGGAGAATGTTTGGGATGGGTTTCTCATCATCCAAATGCAAATTGTTGCTCCAGGATTGGTCTTCAATGGTGTCACGGCTAACAATAGAGAGTGCAGTGATTGAGTGTGTCAATCACTTCACTTAGCTGGGAAGTAGGATCAGCCCTGGTGGCTATCTCAGTGGATACAAAAAGCTCGGCTGGCTTTTGCCAACTCACGCCACCTATGGCACCGCCGTCTATTAAGGGTCACGTGTAATGCACAGCAGTCCACTCTGTTCTACTGTATGGCTCTGAAACATGGCCATTCAAGGTGAAAGACATGAGAAGGCAGCTTCAGGTGTTTGACCACCATTGCCTTCATAGTATGGACCGTATTCCATAGTGTCACCACATGAGTGACGCAGACGTCAGATGTAGTTTTAGGGATTAGAGGTAATTCAGTTGACGAGGTTATGAATCTTCATCGACTGAGATGGTTGGGACACGTACCACGCATGCCTAGTCACCGATTGCCTCGTCACACAATGTTGGCCGAAGTAGACTTGCTCTAGGCGATTTCGCTCAGGACCGATGTCAGTGGCGCAGATGTATCCGCACACACATTATCCTCATCTTAACGACCCTATACGAATTCTCACCATTTTCTCATTCTTCTTTCCTCACTTCTCGTACTTTATATTTCTTTTGGATGAATTTTCTTATCTTCATCTTGCACATTACTGCCTTTTTACTTGGTGTACTGATATGAGGTGTGGCAAATCGGACCGTTACGCAGTAAAGCCTGGTCCTATGTTGATATTGATGATATGTAGATTCACACCACTTACCATCTACTACAAGGAACCTTCAAAATCAAGTTGAAAGCCTCAAAAGAAGTTGGTGATAGACCATAGTTCGACTTCAACACCCACAACAGAAACTGGAGGACGAAACTGCAAAGGACATCCCCACGTCAGGCATCAAGGAAAAATGGGAGACTTCAAGCAGCATCCCTGAAGAAACCTGTGTGGAAGAACACTGGAACTCTGAAACAGATGTGGAAGGAAACCTGCATTGCCCTGTTAGGAAGGAAGAAGAAACAAGACAAGGAATGGATCTCCATGGACACATGGAAGCTGATAAAGAAGGGAGAAGATGGTGAAGCAGAAGATGAAACAGTGCACTGAATGGATGAATATGGAAAAGGGGAACTAAACACAACCTATAAAACACTACACTGGACAAAGAAGCGAAGAGTGCACAGAAAGACAAAAGACACTTCTACAACACACTGGCAAGTGAGGCAGAAGAGGCTGCAGGTAGGAGAGACCTGACAACACTATATCAAATAACCAAAATACTATCTAAGAAGAGATCAACGCAGATGAAACCAATAAAAGGTAGTGAAGTAAACCTGGTTACCAAGGAGGAGAAACAAATGATGGACTGACCACTTCAAAAAACTCTTGAGTCGAACACAACCACCACCTGCAACTCGTCTAGAAATACCACCAGAAGCCAAGCCACAGAATTACCAGTGAACACAAGCCCTCCGACAAAAGTCGAAGTCCGAAACGCCATAAAGCTGTTGAAATCCGGGAAAGCAGCAGGACCAGATGGAATTCCACCAGAAGCACCGAAAACGGACGCACAGACAACAGCGGACACGCTCGCACTACTGGCGCAAAAGGTTTGGAAGGAAGGAAGAACAGGTACCTGTCGATTGGAAGAAGCGTTACGTTGTCAAACTTCCAAAGAAAGGAGACCTAATTCTTTGCACGAAGTGGTGCGGAATCATGCTCGTGTCCTTCCAAGCAAAATATTAAGCCGCATCATCCTGCAGAGACTAAAAGATTTGTTGGATAAAAAATTACGACCGGAACAGGCTGTCTGGCTTCAGGAAGAACATATCATGTGCAACGCTTTACATCATCATAAAAAAGAGCGTAGAATGACAGTCAGCTATTTACCTCACATTCGTCGACTTTCAAAAGGTCTTCGACACCGTTGTTGCAACGCTACGCTTTTAGTTCCACAAACTTTTATCAACCTCGCTCAACAACTATATGACATTACCACATGCCAAGTGACGCACTTGAAGGCAGAAGTAAGAAAAGGCTGCCGCCTACTATCACCGATCATCTTCGTGATTGTGGACAACTGGATCATACAACAAACTATGAGGAGCGAGATGTGGATATGCTGTTTGACCGATGAACAGAGTCTAGAAGATTTGGATTTGGCCCATGATGATTTATCTTTGATATCTTATGCCGCATAAACTCGAAGATCTACAGGCTAAAAGCAACAAATTGGCAGAAGAGGCAGGGCAGCGAAGACGGGACTTCCTTCAGGTGAACGTGGAGATGACAGAGGTGATGAAGATATCCAACCAACCAACCAACCAACCAACAACAACAACAACAAACACCGATCACCATCAACAGGAGAAATCTAAACGAAGTCCCCTTTCACCTACCTAGGCAGCATCGTCTCAACTACAGGTGGCGGCACACATGAAAATGACAAAGCCAGGATCGGAAAGACAGCAAGACAGGCCACCCTTCATTAGTCTGAAACCAGTCTGGAGATCTACTGCACTCAGCATAAAGAACAAGATCCAGATTCTCAACACCAACGTCAAGTCAGTGCTTCTATATGATGGATGAGAGGCTTGGCGAGTTACGAAAAGCATTTCCAACAAACTACACACATTCATCAACAACTGCCGCTCACGGTCACTCGATACTGAAGATCAGATGGCCAGAAAGAATGAGCAACAACGAACTCTCGCCTGGTAACGAACCAACCAAGAATCTATCACCTAACAAATACGCCTTAGGAGAAAGTGGAGATGGATTGGATTGGATTGGACATACAATGAGAAGACCATTCGGGGACATCACGCGCCAGGCCAAGCCGTAGAGTGGAGTCAAAATGGGAAACGACGAGTTAGGCATCCCAGCTGAGGGTGACATGGAGGAGATCATGTGAGGGAGAAATGAAAGTTTCTGGGTAGTCGTGAGCCAGGTTGAAAAGACTGCAGAGAAGAGAGTGCAACGGAGGCGTGCTACTGAAGCCGTATGTTCCGCTAGGAACTCAAGGGCCAAATAATAATATAGTATACACAATAGGATGGGACAGTGTCAGTCCTCGAAACCAACTTATTTGAGTGGAGGGTGGAAGAGGCCGAGAATCGAATCTTTGTTTATTCAATCAACACAAAAAATCAGGAACAGCAACGGCTCAGCACCAGTTCCAGATATGTAGAAAATTCTACTACCTACATCACAAACAAAGTGAGAGCATTAGAACTATTTAGAAACCATGTCTCGAAGTTGTGAGGTCTAGCTTGCCATGACTACGGATAATAAATATTTGTCGGAAACTGGCAGAATCAAGTACATAATGTTGCCCATTCACTGTGTGAGATGTACATCTAATAAATCAATTGAAATAGAATGACATTCCACCACAGTGCCCAACAATTTACACTTAAACTCTTTAAACACCATTATTTCTTCAACATCTAAG